GAGGAGGGGGAGGAGGAACAGCAAGGGGGGGGAGGAGGAGGAGGATTTCCTTCTCACCTCTCCTCCTCGTCCTCTCTCTCCCCTCCCGCCTCCCTCCGCCATAGAGGCTGGCGCCGCAGCCTGGCATGTCCTTCGAGCCGCAGAACCAGGCTCCAGCTCGCCCGCGCTCCGACTCGGGGCCGTGGTCCGCGCGCGCCCGTCCGCGTCGTCCTTTACATGCTCCCGTGGTGGGGGGGAGGGGAGTGAGCATGATGAAGAGGAGGAAGGAAGAGGAGGAAGAGGAGGAGGATGAGGAGGAATGAGGAGGATTAGGAGGAGGTGGATGAGGAGGAAGAGGAAGAGGAGGAGGAAGGGAGGAGGAGGAGGAATGAAGGAGGAAGAGGAGGTGGATGAGGAGGAAGAGGAAGAGGAGGAGGAGGAATGAGGAGGACATGGAGGAGGAGGAGGAAGAGGAGGATGAGGAGGATTAGGAGGAGGTGGAGGAGGTTACGATTTGATGGTAAGTTTGTGTGGTGCCCTCTCCTTCCTCCCTCCTCCTCCTCCTCCTCCTCCTCCTCCTCCGTTTTTCTCCTTGCCTGTCTACTTAACTATGCTCTTCTGCTATTGCACTATGCTCCCCCAGTGCTGGCCAGACGGCCATCCCTTGGGGAAGCGGAAGCGTGCGGAACATTCTCATGCCATCAGGAAACAACAGGAAGCAGGAGGAGGAGGAGGAGGAGGAAGTGCAGCAGGGGGAGGAAGAGGAGGACCTCCCCCTTCTCACCCCCGGGGCTCTGATCCGCGCGCGCGCCCGTCCGTAGTCCTTTCCGTATTCCCGCGGGGGAGGGAGAGCGGTGAGGGCAGGTGGCGATCAGGTTGTTCGGGTATATTGCAACCGGAGGGCAGCTGGATGGAAGTCGTATCGAATCATTTTCAGGCGTAGACAGACGGCGAAGGATTCGTGTCAGAGTGCTGGGTGTTCATAATTTATTGAATCGCTTCGCTCATTCCGCCGGCCCGTGATATGGCATCGCTGGTTTTTGTCTGTGTGTTCGTTGCCCATGTTGCGCTCTTGGGGGCGGGTGTCGTTCGGACGCGTTGCGTGGGGAGTTTTGATGGTGAAGCAGTTCCCTGGGGGTCGTCTCTCGATGGGGCGAAATAGAGTCGTCGTCAAGATGCTTCTTTGGGGGGCCTCTTGGGGTCTGTTGAGAGGCCGTTCGGGGGCGCCTGGGAGACATGTTTGAAGCCTTCTGGGGCTTCTTTTGGGCCTCCTGGGAGTCTCCTGGGGCCTCTTGGCGACATCTTGGGGCCTCTTGGAGGCCTCTTGGGGCCTCTTTGGGACCTCCTGGGCGCCTTCTGGGACGGAGGGCTCCATTTTTGAGTTCTCGGTATCCCTCCTGAGTCCCTCTTGGGCCCGTCTTGGGGCCTCTTGGTCCGTCTTGGGCGGCACTTGGGCCGTCTTGAGGGCTCTCTTGGGTCGTTTCGGCGCCGTCTTGGGAGCTTCGTGGGCCGTCTTGGAGCGGTCTTGGGGGCCTCTTGGGCCGTCTTGGAGCGTCCGGAAGCCGAAAAAGCCAGAACACAAAAAACATCGAAAAAACCAATGAAAATCAACGATTTTGGCCTCTTGGGGCTCTCTTCGGAGGCCTCTTGGAAGGCTCTTGGGGCGTCTTGGAGGCCTCTTGGGCTGTCTTGGGGGCCTTTTGGGCCGTCTTGGGGTCATCTTCGGCGTCTTCGAGCGCTCTTTGGGCGTCTCGGGGGCCTCTTGGGCAGTCTTGGGGGCCTCTTGGGGCACTCTGAGCGCGCTCTGGGGAGCCTGAGAGGCCGCACCCAGAAGGAAAACCATCTCTGAGTAGACTTGGTCGGGCGTTGGTCGGGGTACTTTTCGCCGGGGGACCCCCAGGGGCCGCCCCGCGCGCGCGAACTAGAAATACTTTAATACTGTTAACCAGTTACCGGAGATCTTAGCACGCCCTGGCCCGTTGGGCCGGCGAATTGGTATCGCCCTCTGCCCCGACCCAGAGTGGAGGAGTTCGCGGAGTTTTTTTTCAGCAGTACGGGACGAATTTTCAACAGCGAGTGCGGCGGTCAGGATATCATGTGATATCCGCAGGCGACGCCAGCTCCCATGGTGGACCCGACGCGCGTAGTATTTTTCCTAAGGGTATAGCACGACAGAACACCAACGGCGAAATGGTCACACCAGTTCGAATAATGGAGTTGCGCAGGGAGAAACATGTGGACTCATGTGGACTCGTCTTGAATTGCCTGCAGCGAGCGACGTGATATCATCTGGGAGCCTTGGGGCGGGGGTCAATGCAAACGGGGGTCAGCCTGAGCGCTGGCTCTTGTGGGATCCCTCAGAGCCATGGGAGCACTGATCTTTCAGGATCTTGCAGGATGTTGCGGGATTCTGCAAAACTTGACTGGCCAGGGTCTGGATTGACCTGGGTCTTTAGTTCCCCGGATCATGGAGTGGTGGTCTACTGGAACGAGCAGGATGCTGTTGTCTCAGCCTTCGGTGGCAGTGCGAAGAGATGAATGAATACGCGTGCGACGGCTTTCCCGGAGGCAGACCATCTTGGCAAACCCATACCGCTATTATCCTTCAGTCGCAGCGCGAGGCAGGACCTCAAAGCTATCAAGAACCCAATCGGGGGCACCAGTGCGATGGGACATCGCTCGAGGATGCTCACCAGAGGCAGCGACCGCGAGAATGTCGTGGGCGCGGAAACCAGCTGAAATCAAGATAGCGATCAGCAGCGTCACTCAGAACATAGGCTCGAAGTGGCACGGCATTTCAAACGTGATGGCGGAGAGGGCGGCATTGATTGCGGGGCAAGGAGCGCGCCGGGGTGGACCACCGCGTTTGGCTAGGTGCCAGAAACACGCGTTGAGATGCCAGCAGGAGACGGCCGCGTGCAAAGGTACCGGGAGAACCTGGGAAGGTACGCGGTGCCGAGTCAATATCCCCCCGCCACAAGGCAACGACAGCCGACCTAGCGTTCGAGAAAGAGAGTTAAAGAGAGAGAGTGAGGGAAAGGAGCGGATCGAGGTGCTCAAAGCAGTGCGCGCCGAAAGGGATTGGGCACATCAGATCCACGCATTGGCAAAACAGCGCGTTCTATCTAGGCAATTGGGAGCTTACCTGGCGGGCGGGAACATCGCGGGCTCCCAGTCTCTCAACCCGGCGAAGTGCGCGGGCCATCCTCTGAAGATAAGAGGGGGCAAGGCTGATCCCAGCGACTCCATAGCGGAGGTTCTGACTGCAAACCAGGATTCGAAGAGTTCGACGACACCTTGAAAACGACGATGAAGGCACTAGGTCCAGGGGAGGACGCGATTACCAGAGAAGTGATCAGGACGGCACCGCGGTCGACGCGAGAGTGGACACTGGGGCGCAGCAGCACAGTGGGCATTGGGTTCGATATTGACGAGACCTAATACAAAGGGGCATGCTTACTGGCGATGCTGGCGAGAGCGATCGCCAAGCTAGCAGCGCGGATTTTGGCGAGGCATGTAGAATCCAGAAACTGTGGCGAACGAGCAGCGGGGCTTCAGTGAAAGGAGCCACACCATATATATATATATATATATACATATATATATATATATAGATTTCATGTTTATCGTTCTTGTGGCGTGCGAGCTGCGCGCGAAACGGGGCTGCGATCTTCGACATAGACGAGCAGGCTTCGAGAATGCAGGGGCGTGGGGGCGAGAAAGGAAGCACGGGAGCAAAGTCGGCACGTTCGAGCATGCCCGCGCGATCCCCTTGCGCCTGGCTTGCATTAAGGAAGCGTGGCCGACGGCGCCGCGGGAATTGTTATTGAAAGCGCTGGCAACGTGAGGACGACCAGAGAAGCTGATCAGCTCCTTTCGGAGACCTGCGCGCGGACGCACAACGCGCGGTCCGCCTCCTTGGACCCCGCGTCAAAAACGCCCTACTAGCCGAAAGGGCTTCAGAGAAGGATGTGCAAGTTCATGCTGTGTTCAGCATTGACCACAACGGCTCCATCATGGAAATATTTCGGGGGCCCGGAGGGATGCAACTGAAAGGGCGCGCGGCTTTGAGATGCGCGGGCGCTGGGTGGAAGAAGGGCCAACCGCAGACGGACCGAACCATGAAGGCGATGGGCATCGCGGGCGTTGCCTCTGCCTGGGCGACGACCGAGAAGCTGCAGCGCGTGGAGGAGACGGTCCAACGAGTATTTGGCGAGGGAGGAGAGCGCATGCCTCTTTGCCACGAAGCCATCGGCAAGTTCATTGGGGACTCTTTTTTCCAGTCGCTTGCATACCCAAATGTTCGTCCCATGTTTGGTGTGTTGCCCTTTGATCGTAGAAATCCTGTGGTGTTGGGTCGCCGTTTTGAAAAAAACGGTCCCCGCTTCTCCTCCTCTCTCCTCTTCTCCTTCTCCCCCTTCTCCGTCCTCCCGTCAACCTCCCCACTTTGGCACACCTCTCGCACGTTGCGTGGTCCCATAGGGAGCTCCACCCAAGGCCCAAGGCCCCAGTGGCTGCGTTCACATGCCGTCCCCTTTCTATTTTGGCACGCCCCTCACACGTTTCGTGGCCCCATAGTGGGGGCTCCACCGAAGGCCCCGGTGGCTGCGTTCGCATGCCGCCCCCCCTCCACTTTGGCACGGCCCTCACACGCTTCGTGGCCCCATGCGTTCACATGCCGCCCCCCCTCCCACTTTGGCACACACCCCTCGCACGTGTCGAGGCCCCATAGGGAGCTCCACCCTGCGCCACAATAGCTGCTTTCACATGCCGGCCCCCTTCCATTTTGGAACACCCTTCACGCGCTTTGTGGCCCCATAGACCATAGAGGGCTCCACCGAAGGCCCCGGTGGTTGCGTTCGCATGCCGGCCCCCTCCATTTTGGCACGCCCCTCACACGTTTCGTGGCCCCATAGGGAGCTCCACCGAATGCCCCAGTGAAATGGTTCGCACGCGTTTCCCCCGCCCGGTACAACGCTTCGTGGCCCGATATTGGCGCTCCAGCGAAGGCCCGAGTGGCAGTGTCCGCGTGCGTTTCCAACACGCAGTGCAGCGCTTCGTGGCCCCATAGAGCGTTCCACCGAAGGCCGCAATAGCGGTGCCCCATGCGTTCCCCCCACCCAGTACAACGCTTCGTAGCCACATGCGAGCTCCACCGAAGGCCCCAGCGGCGGTGTCCGCATGCGCTTCGCCGACCCAGTACAACGCTTCGTGGTCCAGTAAGGAGCTTCACCGAAGGCCCCAATCGTGGTGTCCGCATGAATTCCCCCCACCCATTACAACATTTCGTGTCCTCATAGTGTGGCTCCACCGAAGGCCTCAGCGGCGGTGTGCGCTTGAGTTTCCCCCACCCAGCACAGCGCTTCGTGACCCCATAGGGAGCTCCACCGAAGGCTCCAGTGGCGGCGTTCGCATGCGTCTCCTCCGCCCAGTACAACTTTTCGTGGCCCCGTGTGGAAGCTCCACCGAAGGCCCTCGTGTCGGTGTGCGCATGCGCTTCCCGCGCCCAATACAACGCTTCGTGGCCCTATGTTGGGGGGCCCCACCGAAGACCCCGATGGCGGTGTCCGCCTGCGCTCCCCCCACAAGGAGCTGCACTGAAGGCCCCAGTGGCGGTGTCCGCATGCGCTTGCTCCGCCCAGCACAGCATTGCGTGGCCCCACAGGGAGCTCCAGTCAAGGCCCCACTAGCGGTGTTCGCATGCGTTTCCCGCACCCAGTACAGCGCTCCGTGGCCACATAGGGTGCTTCACCGAAAGCTCCAGTGGCGGTGTCCGCATGCGGCTCCCCCGCCCAGCACAGCGTTCCGTGGCCCCACAGGGTACTCCACCGAAGGCCCCAATGGTGATGTCCACATGCGTTACCTTAAGCAGTACAACGCTTCGTGGCCCCATTGGGAGCTCCACCGAAGGCCCAGCGGCGGTGTGCGCACCCGTGTCCCCCACTCAGCACACCGCGTCGTGGTCCCACAGGGAGCTCCACCGAAGGTTCCTGACGGCTTTCGCATGCGTCCTGTCCACCCAGTACAACGTTTCGTGGCCCCATATTGTGGCTCCACCGAAGGCCCCACTGGTGGTGTCCGCATGCGTTTCCCCCACTCATTACAGCGCTTCGTGACCCCATAGGGAGCTCCACCGAAGGCTCCAGTGGCGGCGTTCGCATGCGTCTCCTTCGCCCAGTACAACTTTTCATGGCCCCATATGAAAGCTCCATCGAAGGCCCGAGCGTCGGTGTGCACACGCGCTTCCCGCACCCAATACAACGCTTCGTGGCCCTATGTTGGGGGCTCCACCGAAGACCCCGATGGCGGTGTCCGCATGCGCTTCCCCCACAGGGAGCTCCACTGAAGGCCCCAGTGGCGGTGTCCGCATGCGTTTTTCGCACCCAGTACAGGTTTCCGTGGCCCCATAGGGAGCTCCAGTCAAGGCCCCAGAGGCGGTCTTCGCATGCGTTTCCCGCACCCAGTACAGCGTTCCGTGGCCACATAGGGTGCTTCACCGAAAGCTCCAGTGGCGGTGTCCGCATGAATCTCCCCCGCCCAGTACAGCGTTCCGTGGCCCCACAGGCAGCTCCACCGAAGGCCCCAATGGTGATGTCAGCATGCGTTACCTTAACCAGTACAACGCTTCGTGGCCCCATTGGGAGCTTCACCGAAGGCCCCAGCGGCGGTATGCGCACCCGTGTCCCCCACTCAGCACACCGCGTCGTGGTCCCACAGGGAGCTCCACCGAAGGCTCCTGACGGCTTTCGCATGCGTCCTGCCCACCCAGTACAACGTTTCGTGGCCCCATATTGTGGCTCCACCGAAGGCCTCAGCGGCGGTGTTCGAATGCATTTCCCCCACCCATTACAACGCTTCGTGGCCCTGTAGGGAACTCCACCGTAGGCCCCACTGGCGGTGTCCGCATGCGTTCCCCCCACTCACTACAGCGCTTCGTGGCCCCATAGGGAGCTCCACCGAAGGCCCCAGTGGCGACGGTTGCATGGCGGCCCCTCTCTATTTCGGCACGCCCGTCACACCTCTCGTGGCCCCATATGGGTGGAGCGCCACCGAAGGCGATGCCCACAATGGCGATACTCACAACTGCATATGGTTGGGCCCGCCGCCCGGATAGTGTTCTGTTCCGGATGCTGGCTTGCGCATGGTTACCATTTCTCGTGTTTCGCGGCGGTGGCTGTCGTGGAGAGAGCCCCGCCGTGCCCTGATGTGCCGCGCGTGGTTTTCAGAGCGCAGAGAATGTGACTTGCCGTCCCGTGCCGCGCTTGCTCTACACGGTGAAACGAATGTGCCTTTCTGTACCGTGCCGGGCGTGGTCTCCAAGCGCACCCAGGTCTTCCGAGACGCACTACCGTCCCGCGTCGCGCTTGGTCTGCAGGCCGCGATGACTCCGCCGTCCCATGCCTTGCACTGGCTGGTCTGTCTGAAAGCGCGACGCCCAGGCACTTTACTGGGTCCGCAGTGCACGGAACCGGCCCAGAGCTGCGATGTTCCCCGACGTCCCTCGTCCGCTTTTGCATGGGTTGGGTCAACTTCCGGGGAAGGCCCAAGCCTGCAAGGGCCGTTGTTCGGCCGAGAGCGTGGATCAGTCTTGCTCGGCAGGGTCCCCAGGGGCCGAGACCTCTTCTGTCCCCTCCCCCTCCCCTTCGCCCCCCCCATCTGTCCTCCCCTGCCATCCCTCCCCTCCCCGGCGTGCCCCTTCCCTCCTCCCCGCCCCTCTCGTTCCCCTCTCCTCCCCTCCCTGCCCTCCCTCCCTTCCGCCCTGCCCCGCTCGCCTCCGCTCTCTGCCCCTCCCGCCCCTCGCAGCCCTCTCGGCCCTCTCTTCTCCTCGTCTCCTCTCGCTTCCGGCCCTCTGCGCCCTCGCTCCTCTCGAGGGCTGTAATTTTTTCCCCCGACCATCTTGTGGTGTTGGGTCCTCGTAGAGACGGTCCCCGCGTTTCCTCCTCCCCCCCTCCTCCCTCCTCCCCCTCCCCCCCCGTCCTCCTCCCCCCCTCCTCCCCTCCTCCTCCCCCCCTCCTCCCTCCTCCCATCACCCCCTTCACTTTGGCACACACCCCGCACACGCTTCGTGGCCCCACAGGAAGCTCCACCCAAGGCCCCAGTGGCTGCGTTCGCATGCCGCCCACACTCTACTTTGGCACGCCCCTCACAAGCTTCGTGGCCCCAGAGGGAGCTCCACCCAAGACCCAAGTGGCTGCGTTCACATGCCGCCCCCCCTCCACATTGGCACACCCCTCGCACGCGTCGTGGCCCCATAGGGAGATGCGCCCCAGGCCCCAGGGGCTGCGTTCACATGCCGCCCACCCTCCACTTTGGCACGCCCCTCGCACGTTCCGTGGCCCCCTACACCCAAGGCCCCAGTGGCTGCGTTCACATGCCGCCCCCCCTCCGCTTTGGCACGCCCCTCGCACGTGTCGTGGCCCCATAGGGAGCTCCGCCCCAGGCCCCAGCTGCGCTCACATGCCGCCCACCCTCCACTTTGGCACGGCCCTCACGCGCTTCGTGGCCCCATAGGGAGCTCCACCCAAGGTCCAATTTGACATACCCCGCACACGCTTCGTGGCCCCATAGGGAGCTCCACCGAAGGCCTCGGAGGCTGCGTTCACATGCCGCCCCCCTCCACTTTGGGACGCCCCTCGCACGTTTCGTGGCCCCATAGGAAGCTCCCCCCAAGGCCTCAGTGGCTGCTTTCACATGCCGCCCCCCCCCCCCCCCTCCACATTGGCACACCCCTCGCATGTTTCGTGGCCCCCACCCAAGGCCCCAGCGGCTGCGTTCACATGCCGCCCCCCGAAGGCCCCAGTGGCACTGTCCGCATGACCCATAGGGAGCTCCACCGAAGGCCCTATTGGCGGTATTTGCATGCGTTTCCCAAACGTTGCGTGGCACCATTGGGAGATTCACCGAAGAGGCCCCAGTGGCGGTGTCCGCATGCGTTTCCCATACCCAGTGCAACGCTGCGTGGCCCCATAGGGAGATCCATCGAAGGCCCCAGTGGCGTTGTTCGCATGCGTTTCCTCCATCCAGCGCAGCACTTTGTGGCCCCATAGGAAGCCCCACCGAAGGCCACAGTGGCGGTGTCCACATGCGTTTCCCCGAGCCAGTACACCGTTCCGTGGCACCATAGGAAGCTCCACCGAAGGCCCCAGTGACGGTGTCCGCATGTCTTCCCCCTACCCAGTATAGCGCTCCGTGGCCACCGAAGGCCCCAGTGGCGGTGCCCGCATGCGTTTCCCCGAGCCAGTACGTCGTTGCGTGGCCCTATCGGGAGCTCCGCCCAAGGCCCCAGTGGCTGCGTTCACGTGCGTTTCTTCAACCCAGCACAGCTCTTCGTGGTCCCACTGAGAGCCCCACCGAAGGCCTCAGTGGCGGTGTTCGCATGCGTCTCCCCCCAACCAGTACAGCGTTTCGTGGCCCCATAGTAAGCGCCACCGAAGACCTCAGTGGCGTTGTTCGCACGCGTCCCCCCGCGCAGTACAGCGCTTCGTGGCCCTTTAGGGAACTCCATCGAAGGCCCCAGTGGCGTGTCCGCATGCGCTTCCCCCCCACTCACTACAACGCTTCGTGGCCCCATAGAAAGCTCCACCGAAGGCCCCAGTGGCGACATTCGCATGGCGGCCCCGCTCCATTTCGGCACACACACCTCACACGTTTCGTGGCCCTATATGGAGCGCCACCGGAGGCCCCAATGGCCGCGCCCGCATGCGTCCCCGCCCAACGAGAAAGCACCCAGCACATAAGACCTCTGTCTTTGAGGAGGAGGAGGAGGAGGAGGAGGAGGAGGAGGAGGAGGAGGATGGATGGTACAGAAGCAAGCGCTCAAAATCATGGATACAAATTGGAGGAGGAGGAGGAGGAGGAGGAGGAGGAGGAGGAGGAGGAGGAAGAAGATAGGGGGGGAGGGCAAGAGGATAGCCGAAAGGGACGACAGTGCTTCCAAGTCTTTGGGTTCTCGGGGTGAAGGAGCAGGGGAGCTGCAGCCTGCAGCTTGGAGGGCCCGCGGCAGCGCGAAACAACTGGCGGAATGGGGCCCGCTCCGCCACCACCCGGCGCCCAGGCGCCGCTCAACAACCAGGGCTTCTGAGGCGGCAGCGACTTGCCCCACACATCGAGCCCGCGTGCATGAACTCCGCCCGTCTCCCCGAACCGATGATCCTCAGGGCGTGTGTTTAGCCCACTGCGTGTGTGCGTTACCCCGTGGAGCTCAGCCGATAGCACTCAGCCTGCTTCGGCCCTCACGAAGCCTAGGTCTTATTGGAAGGCTGCGCACGTTGGCGCTACCACACTTTCTGAAGATCATCGACTGAAGCCTCGCCCCTGGATGGTGCTCGCTCCTGCATCGGCGGCGGCGCCCAGGGAGGAGGGGGGCGAGGGAGGCGGCCTTCTGAGAAGACCGGGGGGGCCTTCTCGGAAGCCCCCCCGCCTTCGTCGAAGGGCCCCCCCTTCGCATCATCACGTGATGTGCGCGCCGCCCCCCCCCCCCCCTCCCCCTCCGCTCGCTGGACCGTCACAAACCGATGAAGCAGGTCTGAATCCCCTGAGCTTGTCTCTATGGGCGCGCAGCAGACATGCCGTGAAACCCAGGAGAGGGGCGAGGGGGTGCGACGAAACAAAGGCAGTCCAGGAGTCCAAAGGCGTAAGTCTGACATGCCCCTCTACAGGAATTTTGGACTGTCTCAGACTGTTTTTCCAAGATCCGCCTGCAAGAGGACGCGCCCGACCTGCAAGCACAAGGAGCGGACCCCCGGAGTCCTGGGAGCCCGCGTGCGCGAGCGCCGCCCCCCTCTCGTGCGCCTCCTGCTGCGCCCCAGGAGCTCTGGGCGTCTCTCGCCGACCTTGTGCGAAAGGACGTTCGCGTTCTTGCTGTCCCTCTGGCCGGGGGTGTCTGCGAGGGGCTGCGTCCCACGACTTAGGGGGCCACATGCGAACCCTACCCCTGCCCCCCACGATTTCCGAGGGGGAGGGTGGGGTTCACTTCGTTCGGGAGCTCTCGAGCGAAGTGAACCCCACCCTGCCCCCTCAGAAATCGTGGGGGGCAGGGGTAGGGTTCGCATGTGGCCCCCTAACGACCTCAGTACTCCGGCCGCAGTCGGCGGAACTCCAGCCGTTTGGAGTCAGGACGTAAGATTTCTGGGTGTTGCTTTGTTTTGTCGTTGTGGGTCTCTGGATCCGAGGCGGGAATTTGTACATGACCACCGCCTGAAGGGTCAGTTTTCGGAGCCTCGGCAGGCGGTGGATATGGGCATATTCAGGCCCCCGGGGGCCGAAATATATCCATATCCACCGCCCGCTGGTCCACCAGGACGTCGGTTCCCAGGCGGTGGATGTGGATAAATCCCCGCCTCGCACTGGAGGCCCTTGGATACCTCCAGGGTACGTGTGTGCAGACGCCTCTGGGGACTCCAGGACCACGGTCGTTCTGCCTCCTGGCTGTGAATTTGGCTCGCCCGTGCCCCTGCTCTGGTCCCGGCCTCCTCCTCCTCCTCCTCCTCCTCCTCCTCCTCCTCCTCCTCCTCCTCCTCCTCCCCTCTCGATCGGAGTCGTCGTTTTCGAGGAGTCAGGACGCAACCCTAGCTGTTTGCCCCCCTGTTCTCGCTCGTCGCCTGTGCCTGTGCTCGGTGGCGCGCATCGGAACTGACCCGCGTCCCCCAGGGTACTTGCACTCCTCCTCCTCCTCCTTCCCGGCTGTCCCCGGACTGGCGACTTTGCGCGTAGGTGCCAGCTGTCGCTACCGAGTACGGCTGCTGCTGCTAATTCGTGGAACTCGCCGCCGCGGCGCAGCTGCTGTCAATTCACGAGATTGCCAGGAGGTTAGAGCGCACGAAAAGGCTCAAGGGAGGAGACCTGCTCCTCAATCAGGGATTGCGAGGAGGGTGGGGGCGTACGAAGAGGCTCAAAGGTGGAGACCGGCTCCAGGGCAGCGGTCAGCTCGGCTCGACCAGACTCTCATCCTACATGACGTCGCGCTCGCTTTTGGTCGATGCTTCTGCCGGCTGTTAAGTCATTAGTTACCCCTGGATCGCCCGCGGGGCCGAGAAGACCGGCGGACCTGGCGACCCGCGGCCTGGGCCGGAGAGTCGTTGTTGTCTCAGGATCGGGGCGCACGCAACGGAGGGTACCGCTACGGAACGCTACGGGAGGTCCGTGTCGTGTCGTCGTGTCGACTGGCGGCGACCCCGCCAGCGGCGTTCAACGTTGAACGCCGCGGGCGACCCAGAATCGTTATACACCCTGCGAAATGCTTAAGAAATCATGGGTTAAGAAATTCATAGTCTCAGAATGTAATTAAAACCCAGAGTTTCTACCAAAATCTTAGGAATTAAATTGAAACGTGAAGAATAATCGAGACTCTGGCCGAAAACTTAGGTTTTCTTAAGCATCGCCTAAGGTGTATGGAACGATCTGGACGTTTCGGAAACGGCCGATCGTTCCAGGTTGACACGATCCCCGCGGTGTCAGAAGCCAACGCCGCAGTCGACACGACGCGAACCTGCCGCAGGTCAGGGGTGCCCTCGGGCTGCCCCGGGCTGGGGAGCCGCATGGAGCCGGCGCCCCACATCCAGGAGGGAAAAATACGCACAGACACAAGCAATCGTCGATTCCCCAGAGAATATGGGAAAATATGGAAAGTGGGGGGGGGGGGAAACAAAAAACCCGAAACTATGGGAAAAGATGGGGAATCTTGTGGTTTGTGTGTGTGTGTATTTCTTTGCGTGTCCCAGGGCCCCTTGCATGGAGCCGACGCCCCCCCCGCCCGCCCCCTCGCTCGGCTGGCCCTGGCCGGGGAGCGGTTCTGCGGTCGGGGGTCCGTGACACGCCCTTGGCTGACCGGGGTCAGCGCTGACGTGTCACGAGGGAGGAAGAACACTTTTTGGTCGGCGGGGCGAGAGCGAACCTCTTCCGCTAAAAGCTAGGCGGGCTAATTAGGGAGACAGGGTACAGGCAGGCGGGGCTGAGGGAGGAAGAACACGCAGATACAGGGGAAAAAGCACACAGATGCAATCAAGTGTCGATGCCCTCGGCAAGGTGGGGAAGTGCGGGACGTGGAGGGGAGACGGAAGTCCAAAAAATATGGAGGAATGCGGGGCATCCCGAGATTTGTGTATTTATATATATATATATATGTATATATATATATATATATATATGTGTGTGTGTGTGTGTGTCCCTGAGCCCCTTCAGTGCGGGAAGTCCCCTCACATCTCCCAGTCTCCCTCCCCTGCCTTCCGACGAAAGGCAGCAAGGCCTCCCGCTCCGAAGCCTACCCTCCCCCACGCCCCCACCTCCTTGCTTAAGAGCTCCTCCTCGCGCAGGGAGGTTACGAGTCCCCCCCCCCGCCCCCTATTTCAGGAGCGAAAGAAGGACGTACATGTACATGAATCCACGCTGGTTTCGAGAGCACGCATTGCACAAATGTTCGTATCACGCGGCCGGTCTCGCGAATCGAGGGGCCGTGTTCATGTACATAGCTGGGCGCGTACGTCCTTTGTGGGCTCCCTACTATTGGCGCCGGAAGACGATACCGACGCCGCCGCCCCACCTGGCGCCGGCAAGCGACGATGACGATGAAGATGACGATGACGACGACGACGACCGCCACGACCACGCCCACGACGACGACGACGACAACAGACGACGACGACGACAACGGACGACGACGACGACGACGACGACGACGACGACGACGATGACGACGACGACGAGAACGACGGACGACGACGACGACGACGCGGTAGAACAATCCAGTTCGCGGGCGGGTCGGGCGGGCGGGACATCAAGGCGGGCTCGGGCGGGGCGTCGAGGCGTGCGGGCAGGCGGTACATGAGGTGTGAGTGTCGTTGCTTGACGAGGAAAGGTTTGGGGGACATGCACGAAGCAAAGACGAAGGAATTCGCTGACGACGACGGGCGGGTCACTCAAGCGAGCGGGCGGGCGGATCATTGGATGAATCCTGGAGCATCTCGAGTGACGAGGACAGTAACAGTCAAACGACGCGAAGGAAAGCGACGACGACGTCGTCGAGGGGGGGGGCACATGAGTGCGAGTCGGCGGGCAGGACATCGAGTTGAGAATTTCGTTTGTTGGCGGGGCACCTCTGGGAGAACATGCGATGTTAGCCTGCGTGGGCCCCACACTTTGATCCTTGTGGTGCAATCCAGGTGGTGCAATCCATGTTTTGTGCAGTCTCTGCGATGCAATGCAGAGCAAAGCGATGCACTACAATGCAAAGCTGCGCAACGGTATACAATTCTAGACGCTTCGCGTATCCCCACCAGCCCGTGACCCTGGAACGAAGTGACTCTGAGGGACGCTTTTTGGGTATACGACGGTCCCGTCCCTCGGGTGCTACCCTACACGCTTATGGGTGGCGCTGAGACACTTTGGATGTGCACTTTCAGCTACGTGTTCCGTGTGGCTTGTGCACGCTGCTGCGCCCTTACCAGTCGCTGGACGAAGGGCTCAGGCGCATCTCAGTTGTGGAAGGTTCTCTCTGGCTACTCTGTTTCCACACCCTGGATGCGTGTTCTGACGTCGCGGTGGTCCGCATCCGCCGTCAGGGTTTCCCCGCTGGACTGTGTCACCAGTCAGTCTGTGCTACCCGTCAGACTCCCTGGGTTGACGTCTCGCTCGGGACCGTTTCCTATTTGTTCGTATCCGAACTGTTGGGAACGCCTTACGCGCCATTTTGGCTGCGCTCTGCTTCCTCGGTGCCTGTGTTCAGACTCCCTGGATGCGCCGTTGCATGTTCCTTTCAGGGGCTGCCCTGCAGACTCCCTGGATTGCACGCCTTGGCTCAGACGCCCTGGGTCGCTGCTGCCTGCCGCCTGACCGCGGCCTCGCGCGCGCCCGCTCCCTAGTCGCGGCCGCAGCCCGACCGTGACCGCCCGCCGCTGGCGCTTCCGCCTGCGGCTCTACAATATAAAAACCACCAGCCTTTTCGCCGCCTGATCCGCGGCTCCGCGCGCGCCCGCAATTTAGTCGAAAAAAAACACCAACCCGTCCAGAAACGACGCCCAGGCGAGTAGAGGGTCGTCCTGAGGGTTTTTTCGGCGTCTTGGGTGCCTCGGGGGGGGCCTCTGTGGGCCGTTCGGAATCCTCTTTGGGGCCTCCTGGGGGCCTCTTGGGGCCTCTTGGGGCCATCTTGGGGCCTCTGGGAGCACCTTGGGTGCCTCTGGGGGGTCTCTTGGGCCTCTTGGGGGTCTCTTGGGGGCCTCCTGGGGGCCTCTTGGGGGGCCTTTTGGGGCCATCTTGGGGCCATCCTGCGGCCTCTTGGGGCATCCTGGGGGCCTCTTGCGGCCATCGTGGAGGAAATCGATCAAAGAAGGGGGGTTCCTAAATTTCAGCCCCCCCCTCAGAAGGCCAAAATGGGGCCCAAACTATAGTAAAATCAATGATTTTGGCTTCCTCGCCGAGGCCGTTTTGGACGCTCTAACTACCCGCGGCCCCCCTTGTCCAGGTCAGTGGGGAGGGGGTAGGGGGAGGGGTAAACCCCTCCCCGAAGGGGAAAAAGGAGGGGTGGAAGAGGAAACTCGTTAAACCACCGACGCCCTAAAGGGCAGGTGGGATTGCAACGTAGATCAGTGCAAGACACCACAAGACAAGGCAAGCCACTGCAAATCAGCGCAGAGCAAAGCAATGATAAACACTGCAAAGCCATTCAAAGCAACGCAACGCAGTGCAACGCGATGCAAGACAATGGAAAGCAATGCGCTGCAATGGAAAGCAACGCAACGCAACACATTGCAACGCAGTGCGATGCAACGCAATGCAAAGCAACACAAGGCAATGCAGTGCAATGCGTTGTAATTCACTGCGACACAGAGCAGTGCAAATGCTCCGCAGCGCAATGAACATCCATGCATTGCAATGCAGTGCAATGCAGAGCTATACAATGGCAACGCAAAGCAGCGTGGCGACGGGGCGCGACGAGCTGGCAAGACCCCCACCGGGGCCCAGCGGCGACGGCGGCGACGGGCGGCGACGGGCAGCGACGAGCCGGCCGGACCGCCACCGGGGCCCAGCGGCGACGGCAGCGACGGGCGGCGACGGTCGGCGACGAGCCGGCCGGACTGCCACTGGGGCTCAGCTGCCTGAGGACAGAAGAAAGAAACTTCTAAGTATTAGCAGTTTGAGACATGTCCCTAGCCCTATGTTTGACATCACCTCACCTCGATGCCGATCTTACGGATTCCCTCAGTTTCTGAGGGCATATCCCCAAGATTGCCCTCGCTTTTTGCGCGCCCATCTTAGGGATAGGGATAAGTTCGAGGCTGGTTAAAGTAAGTGCAAGCAATGTTTTGGGGAAAAGGAATGTGAGGGGAAACGATCACGAGAACGACGACGACGTCGAAGGGTATTCAGGACATGGAAGAGGGCGGGCGAGCTGGACATGGAATGTAAACTCGGGTCGACGGGCATGAAGGGGAGGATGCAGGGGGATAATGATGAGGACGAGGATCCAGTATCAGGATTTGAGGAGAGAGAACGAGGAGGAGGATGAGGATCGATGATCGAGGTTCGAAGCTCGAGGTTCGACGCTCGAGGTTCGAGGCTCGAGGGAGGATCCATGTTCAAGGTGCGGACACAGCACCGGTTTGATCGAACGCCCCGTTCGATCGAATTTGGCCCCCCCTCCTCAGTGCGCTTTCAACATTGAGGCTCTCTCACACAGACTCGCCCGCTCTCAGAGGCATTCATACTCAGACTCACTCACGGTCCGAGACGCTCGCACTCAGATTGACTCCCACGGGGACCAACTCACAGTCAGACTCACCAGACCCATGACCACCCCGATATAGCAAGCATCTCACTTGGGCACATTCAGGGGGC